AAGGACGAATATACAAGAGAAAAATCAATGGACAAACACATACAAAGAAGAATCGCTGAATTCATGAAAAAGTTCAGCTAATTGCAGTTTCACCGATGTAGAAAATGAATAAGAGAGATGGAATACAAAACGCAGGAAGATATTTTGATGCAAACTTTCCTGAAAGCCCCGCTGTAATGAAGTGCCGAGAATGCATAAATACAAAATAATTTCCAATTCAGTACATTTTCAATGGATTCAATTAAAGAAAAGAAGTCTACGCTTAGAAGCAACTTTTTGAATTTCAATCCTTTTTCCGTACTTTTACTGAAATTTCGTCACTACCATCAACTCTTTAACGTGGAAAAACACACAAATTGTCCCAAGACTTAACTTTCGAACAAAATCTCTCTCTCTCTCTTTCGTTCTATGACACATGGCAAATCTTTTTTTCTGTATCAAATGAACGCTGAAATGCAATAATTCACACATCAAAGCATCCTCACTACATTCATATGCATTCAATACAATTTAAAGCAAAAAGCCGTATGCAATAACGAAACGCGCATCAAAACTTTCTGAATATCGATGTGTGTAGCAGGATGATGTTGGCAGAAACATAGCGAAACGTTACATTGAAATGAATTTAAATGTCATCAGGATATCATTAAGATGTGATTCGTTTTCATCCACATGAAATGTCAAATTGAAAGAAGCTCGTCAGTCAGAAGTTGCCTGAAAGTGAATAGAACCGTTTGCTATCACACATTATACCGTAATGTTGGCAACAAAGTGAAATGTCATAATGACGTGCACAGAAAAAAAGAGACACACATTCCCCATACTTTGACGCACACACACACCGAGAGATACGGAAATCGTCTTTTTCATACAATATGTGATCAATTCCATCGCAATTTGACAGAACACATGCATTTCCATACTGATTAAATACCATTCGGTTCGTTGCGAAATGCAAAAGATCTGATTACTGATTAATGAACGGAAACTTGAACGGCAACCAATTTCAAGCAAAAATATTGAAGAACATTTTATGCATGCACACGGAAATGCGATTTTATAATTCTTTTTCTCGTTTAGCTTTTTTTTACATATTACTTACTTCCTTAAATAATTCTTCATTATTCTCCGTCTTCTTTGTCATTACATACATTTACTAATTTTCATTCTTTTCGCGTTTATTTTCGAACTATCTTTTGCAGAAGTAATTTTGACAAAGAATTTATGAAAATCATTTGATTTCAGTATTTGTTTGTGTTTATTTGCGAATAAAGAGGATCAAAATTTCGAGAATAACGTAATAGGTTCACGAGGCATTCAATTTGGAAATCGTTCAAAAAATCCACTTGATAGCATTGTATTTATTTAGTCATTTCGCACATTTTGGTCATTTCATTCAATTGCTCCCACTCGAATGACGACAACAACAACAAAAACCGTCGACGATACGTACAAAACTGTAACAAAATACTTTTGTGCAGCATGCAATAAACGTTGAAATAAAAGGGAACTCTTCTTTTTTTTGTTTTCGACTTTTCTTTTTCTTCCTTCCGTTTTCTCTCTTTCTCGTTGTTTGTACGTTTACACCGATTTGTTTTTAATATTTCAACACTTTGGAGTGGATCGTGTTTTGGATGTGTGCATAAGATTTGGAAGATTTTTTTCCCCTTCAATTTTTACATCCTCTTCTATTGTGCACACTCAATCGATGCAGATGCAAAAAATGGGTGCCGCATAAAAATCGTAAGAGAATAATAAAATCTAATGTTGTTGTTTTTTTTTTGGTGCACGGTGGAATGAGAACAACATCCAAATTGAAAAGCAATTGAAACGATGAGTTGAAATTGTAAAACGGCAGAGATATCACTGTAAAACCTCGGCTTATAGCTGTTGTAAGTATCCAATATGTATTAATGGGAAATAGAAACGATAATGGTTTTCTTGAATCCATTGCACCGTGTGTCACATAAAAACACACACAGAGAGAAGCGATGAGCGATTTGCTAATATGAAAACTGCTACACACTTGTATGAATTTGTATCTATCGACCACGACCGATGAGAAGCAACATTGAATGACAGTTGCATTTAAATGTTTCAATTATTCGATTGCTTCAAAATCACATTCGCAAACGAAAAAGAAAAAAACCGCATAAGCCGCGCGGTACCAGCGGTGTTAGTCCATTTGCTATTATTTAGTCGATAAACGTACGATTCTTCAATTGCATTGGACAAGAAGAGCCATTCCGTTGGGAATTACTGTACATGTTTGGACCGCCTTTCCATTCGCTTATTTCCGCGAAAATTCCAAAGAGAAAAACAATATTAAATCACATGGCTTGGCAGGAACACGAAAAACATGAGAAAAAAAAAATGAAAATTGCAATTTGACATGAGGCCTTTTCATTGTGGATTTCTTCAATTTCTTGCACCAAAACCAAATTCAAAATTTATGTGTGTTTCATACACGAAAAACACGTAAATATTTTGTCACATTTCTGGGTATCTTTGTGCCTTGATGTGTTCATGTCCTTTCGAAACTTGAAACATTTTGTCGATCAAATGAATTCCCATCCCGTGCTGGTCGTTTATTTTCGCCGCATTGAATGTGTGTGTGTGTTCCATGTCATCTATTTCAATTCAGTTCAATGCTAACTCGATTTTTAAGCTGTTTGTTGATTTGTGTGCATAAATAAAGTGTCGTGATTTATTTTTGTGGTGTTTGGCACCTTCTGCTTAAATTGAATCGCCCCCAACAATTTATATATATATGGAATGGCACACGAATTCGGAATTTATCTTTATTTGAAATCGGATTGGATGGGAATTCATATTTTCCGCATTTTGCAGTAAAAAAACGTGCAATGTGTCAGTTTGCTCTCATTCATTTTGCTCCAATCAATCTATGACCATGGCCATAGAAAATGGTGAGGCTTTCGGCTGTGTGTTTGCAAAAATACGATTTCAAAAGGTCTTTGTTTCACAATTAAATTGATTCGGAATTTGTAAATGTGAGAAATTGAAGTAACAGCAGCAGTTAAATTTCGTTTGTTCTACTGTGTCTCGCTTCAATTCCGTTTGCCTTTTCTCTATTTCACTTTTATGTCTCTCCCTCTCTCTTGCCGCGCTTGGCCGTTGAATGCTGTGTAAGTATGTATCGTTTTTCCAATTGGTACTTTTGGCCACAATTTTCGAATAGCATCGATAGAGCATTTTGCTACTATATTCACAAAATCAATCAGTGTACAAACAAAAGCAAAAACCGTCACGACAACATACACACAGCCTCAATTTGATTGTCACCCGCTCGCTCATTTTCCAATTGCATTTTCATTGGGAATGAGTTTTTCCAAAGCATAATAAATATAAATTACTCAATTTCAATTAAAATTGTCTCGGACAACATATTCAAATGCCCATCCGATTAGTTTGTAGTTTTAGCAATGGCACAGCACACACACACACATATATAAATGTCAATCGGCTGATAAAGAGAAAAATAGAGAGAGAAACGTTCGGTTAGCGTGTTTTTGTATATGTGTACGCCGAATCGGCAAGTAATCTGATTAGGAGTAAAAGAGACGCAGAATTTTTTGAACGCTTTCGTTTTGGTTGAATTGATTGCATTGTGGTATCCACAAAGCCGCACCAAATGTAATCTTTTTTTTCGTTGTTGTTGTTGCAATTTGGTTTGTTGTTTTTGTTATAGTTGTGGGTTTTTTCGCCAAATATCATGTGTGCTCTCTTCACTGTCACAAAATTAATGTCGCTTCAAAAACGTGCATTCTAGCCACAACAAAGTTTATTGGAAATTGCAATTAAAGCACCCATACAGTTGCACATAAACATGTAGAATGAGTGATAAATAGAGGTAGAGAGAGAGAAAGAGGAAAAAACGATTTCATTGTTGTAGCAAAAGTTAACTTTTGAATTTCAAATTAGAGAACTTTTGTGTGAATCGAAAATAATTTGATTTGATTTGGTTTCGATGCTGTATGCACTTTAACAAAATGCCATTTTTGCATTTGACTATGTTATTTTGACTCAGTTTGCATATCTCTTATTGGAATTAAGTTTCTACACAGTGAATGAGAAAAAAAAACATCCACCAGAAATAGCCAAGTAGCGCAAATAAATCAAATAAATGACAATAAAACTTATTTAATTTGGAGTATTGACAGTCGAATCGTACATATATAGAGAAAAATACATTCCACAAACACACAAATATATCGAATTGAAAAGCACTCGTTTTAATATAATAAACGGCGAGAAAAAGTTATATAGAGCTAGACAAAAAATCAAACAAAAAATAAGACACATTTTCCATTTGATTTTTTTTAAATCTTTTTTTTTTTGTTTAGCATTGCACTTTTCTGATATTTTTGCTGATAAAAATAAATTTTTCGAAATAAAGTTTTTCCAATGCTGCTGTGTGAAAAATATGTTCGATAACATATGTCAAGAATGCAATAACGGCAAACTCTGTCGACAGTGGAAGAGAGAGACAGGTGAAACATTCACCTGTTTCCCTCCCTTGCGAATTTTTGTGTGGCAATTTGAAAAAAGTTGGCACAGATAAAATGGGGGAAATACATACGGTCATCGACCACAAAAATGCCGATTGGATAATATACTAAATATAAAAGCACGCTGGCCAAATATAAAAGTATGCTACTTTATATAGTGACAAAAAAGCCGAGTTGAAAATGATTATGAATTATTGCGAAAAATGTTATACATACGTTCGTAAAAAGCGTTGATTTTTTAAATTTCTTGTAATTGCCATTACTTTATGTAACGAAATTTCAATTCCCTGTTATTCTAGCGCATTCACATTTTCGAGCGTTATCATCTTTAGAAAGTGCTATCAAAATCAACTTATTCAATTTGAATTTTCGACACGTGAATATCTGTTTTTAGTATTATTATCATATAAAAACCTGATAAGACGTTGATTTTTGCAAAACAGCTGCTCGATCGCACGTAATATTGCTTAGTGTAGATTGAAAATTGACACCGAAAGATGTTTGCATACGATCTGTTACTTTGGTTTCTTTCATTTATGAAACTATTTTTTGCATGTTTACTTGCTATTATTATAATTTTGTTAATTTTTTATTTTTTTACCATATGGACTATTATACAATACAAGAAAAAAGAAAAGAAAGAGTAAATGTCAAATATTCACATCGAATAAGTGAATTATATAATTAATTTATTTGCATTCTGATTTAAATATTCAATAGACGCCAGAGAAGAACAGCCGAGACAGCAGTCCAGACTGAAGATCAGCCAAAAATGATAAAAGAAACCCGTTGCAAGTTTGTTGGATTGTATTTTTAAAGTGAATTTTTAGATTTTTTATATTGATATTTCTTTGACAGGATTGATTACCACAAGAAGATCACCGCTAAATTGTCCAATTGATGAATCAATCTGTTTTTATTTGTTCAAATCGGCAGGGCTATAAGAGAAAACTGATGTTTTTGTATAAAAGTTTGTTGAACTGTTTTTTCATGAAATTTTTCTTTGAATAAATGAACTTGAAAAGCTTAACTTTTTTTTATGTTCGTTCAATTGACTTAAAAGTTAAAATTACAAAGAACAACACAGCTATAGTTATACTAAAATAAATGTCAAAGTAGTGCATATTGTAACGAGCGTACAAAGCGAGAAAAAACATGTTTTACTTGTAATCAAATGATAAGTATACTGCAATATGTTCATTCATCATTCTCTATCTTTTGTTATCCATCGCAAGTTTTGTAACAACGAAAATACAACGGTGTGTACACAACGGATGCAATCCATACAATTATTTATTCGTTCCAATTATTCTGAATGATACACAAACACCCTTAAGGACCGAAATTAAGAGTAAAATTGTCAAGTGACCAAAGAGAACGAAAAAAAATGCCAATAATCACAATTAATCATTTCCCTCTTCCTTCAAATGCACGAACACAATATCAGAAAAGAAGAAACCGATTTATGTGCTGCTGTCACGATGTTATAAAATGAATTTCGAAAAGTTAAACATTTATTTAGACGAAAGCAAAATAAAGGCATTGGGAAAAATGTTATGAATTGACTGAAAAATGCAGCAAATAAGAGGAGAAAAATCTTGAAAAATGAAAATTGCTATAAACAACACGCGCAACAGAATCTATAGAATTGAAGAAGAAAATAAGATTCGATTGAATTTGGAATTTGTCCACAAAATTCTCTCGTTCGAATCGATTTTTTCGGGCCGCACACTGCATGCGAATGAACGAAAAAGGTAAATATCACAATATGGTATTGACATTGTGCAAATAGATACATTTATCATTTATATGTGAAACATTTTTCCGATCATAGAGTGCCCTGTGCATCGTATGTCGTGTATTGTCTTGTTTTTTTTTCTCAATCCTCTTTTATGCGCGTGTTCTTCGTTTTGTATATTCGCAATGTTATTTGTTCCATGCAATTCATATCGATAGTTTCCTTCCTCAACAAAAAAAAGCGCGCACACACACACACAAACGCCGTGTACACATTGACAAAAGGCATAATTCATGTAATTTATTTTGTTTCCATCGTGAAATCTGAAAATAAACACCGAAATTCCAGTCGTGGTGGTGCAAAGTTTGATGATAAAATTATGGCTTTTCGGTGACATCGAATTTAGACAATTATGTTGCACAATATCAAAAAGTTTAAATCGAATTTCGATATTTCGGAAAAATTGGTTATTTCACAACAAACGATCATGAGATTGATAAAAATTGGCAAAACATAATTCCAGTCAAATGCTCATCGTTTAAAATACGCAAATAGATACATCTATAAATAAAAGTGCCTTCTTGCCGTTGATTTTTCAAATTGAACTGTGCTGAATGAACGAAGCATAAACGACAAATTGAAGTAGACAAACATCGACGACAACGACCACGGCAATGATGACGATAGCACGTTAGCCCTTTTATTTTGATTATTTGACACGAAAATTGTGTATTTTGTCTTATACGAATCAACGCAAGCACTACGGAACGATTCAGAACGACACGAAGAAATTGAACAAGCGAATGAACGAAAATGAAAGAGACGAACAGACAACAAGATGATATGTTGCTATAACATAGCAAAAATAGAATTTTCGGTTAAATTCAGCATACATACGCATAAAAGTGTTTAGTAGCCGTAACAAAATGTGTATGTGTAATGTTTATGTGTGCATGCATGTTCGATGTGAACGTGTATGTGTAAAGCATGACGACATCATTCTTAAATCGACCAACATCATATTCAAATATACACATTTTCTGACTTTGGGTCATTTGCGTTGAAAAATTTGTTCCGGTTTGTACGTATACCAGTGGTTCGACATAAAAATCGATTCGGAATTGTAAATAAACTTTTCATTTTCGTTTTTAATTCATCACTCATTGAATATCAATTGTTTTTTTCCTTCTACTTGTTTTAGATCAAAAATATTGTGAAGGTTGAACATTAAAACGATTTTTTTTTTCTCGATACCATCCAATATAGTTTGTGACCGTGTTTGGTAAGTCTATTTATATGAAACCAGTGTAAAGAATAAAATTGATTCTTTCATTTTTAAATGTCATAATTTCGAATAAATTTAATAATTCCGTGATCGAAATCGATTTGGAAAGTGTTCAAGTGCATGGCAGAGAATCGGTTTTATATTGTATTCAAAAATCAAATTCATAACGATGTACAGATATAAAGTGTAAACGCCGCTCACCAACGGTGACTTGTACGCCAAAAGATTTAACGAACGAAAAAAAAAATCAACATATTGTGAACGCATCACACATTAAATACAAGCCGAAACCGTTTACACATGTGTCGAGGTTATGTGTATTATATTATTGTATGCCATTTACCGGAATGTGTGTATGTTGTGATCGTCTTTTGACATTTCAGTTCAGTGGACGATTCTTATATGACTTTTAAACTATGTGTACTGGGTTAATGTCATGGGACGTTCACTGAATATGTGTGTATGTGCTATATGTGTAAATGGATTTTTTTTTATTTACATTGCGAAATGTCATAATCTTACGCGCGCAAAAAAGGCGACAAATAAAAACATTTAGCCGGCTATTGAATTGTAAATATGTATTATTGATTGTAAAATAAGCGATATGTTTTGGATTTGCTTGAAATTTCATTTTGAAAATGATTTTATTGAAAAAGAAAGCAAAATGAAAAAAGAATACAAGCGCTGTTGAGATTGTTTTCTAATTTCTTGTTTTGTGTGTTGTTTGTAGGTTAAGTTCGAGCGGGTACGAAACGGGTGATGCGATAAAATTGAGCTTCGACAATGGTGCAGTACGTTGTGTTTGCGGCTTTTCTGGTGCTTCGTATATTATCGGTGTTTGTGGTGAAAACTTGGTACGTGCCGGACGAATATTGGCAAAGTTTAGAAGTGGGTCATAAATTAACCTTTGGATATGGTCACATGACATGGGAATGGTCAAAAGGCATACGCAGTTATATTCATCCATTGTCGATAGCGGCCGTGTATCGAGCGCTTGCCTGGTTTGGTCTTGATCAAGTGGAATATTTGGTGTTGGTGCCGCGTATTTTACAAGCCATACTATCTGCATTCAGTGACTATTGCTTCTATCGATGGAATAAGAATAGTAAATGGTCGATATTTGTAATAGCAACATCCTGGTTTTGGTTTTACACCGCCACCCGAACATTGTCGAATACAATCGAAACGTGTTTAACAACGATTGCGCTCAGCCTATATCCACGACATCATGAGCCCGATTCGCATAAATTCCTTTGGATTGTTGCCTTATTGTGTTTCATTCGGCCAACGGCCGCTATTTTATGGTTTCCGTTGTGCATAATTCATATGCGAAAATCTATTCATTCGGTTGCCGAGCTATTGATTAAGCGGTATTTACTAATTGCGTTAATTGTTGGCGCAATCGCTGTATCGTTAGATTCATATGCGTATGGACGTTTTATTGTAACACCGTTTGAATTTTTCAAAGTAAATGTGCTGGAGAATGTGGGCAGTTTTTATGGAACTCAGCCATGGCATTGGTATTTTACAATTGGTTTGCCAACAATTTTGGGTCCATTCACATTACCATTGCTAACGGCTGTGCTACAGACATTACAAAATCGCGACACATATCCAGATCGATGCAATTTATTAATTTCAACGATTTTTACGCTGGTCGTGTACAGTTTTCTTCCGCATAAAGAGTTCCGTTTTATTTTACCATTGTTGCCAATTTGTTTGCATATCATCGCCGATTCGTTGAAAAATTGGAGTCGCAATGCATCGCGTATTATTATTTGGATTGTTGCATTGGCATTGCTTACATTCAATGCAATACCAGCCATCTATTTAAGTTGGATACATCAACGTGGCACCATCGATATTATGCAACCAATTGAACGGATTGCACGTGAATATCGAGATTCGGATGGACATTTGGCAAAATTCTTATTTTTAATGCCATGCCATTCAACACCGTTCTACAGTCACGTTCACCAAAATGTAACATTACGATTTTTGACATGCGAACCCAATTTGAATGGCGAAGAAAATTATATTGATGAAGCCGACCAATTTTACGCAAATCCAGCCGCTTGGCTACGATCTCACGTACCCGTCTATCCAAAATCAGCGTTACCAACGCATACGGTTCTATTCGATAGCCTTCAACCGCAAATTAGCGAATTTCTCAAAAGTTACAAATTAATCGAAACTGTATATCACAGCAACTATACAGACACACGGGTCGGACACAATGTACTACTTTATGAACGTGTCGCTGATGCTCCGCCAACCAAACCAAAAGTTGAACCCAACCAATTCAACAAACCGGAACATTTTGACAACACAATTCATGATGAATTTTAGTACAATCATTTAACGCATGCACACACACCGAATCAAAGCAAATAGACATGCTATTTAAGCCTTTCACACAAAGTCTGACCATTCGGAAGCCTATCTTTTTTTTCACGTTTTAATACAATGTGTGTGTATGTTCAAATTTAAAAAAAAAACATCAAAATTTGCAATACAGTACAATTTACTGTAAAATATGTTAATTTTGTTTTATTTATCAACTAAATTTTGTTTATTTTTTGTTTAAATTTTTTTTTGGATTGATGCAATAAAACGAAAATATGACTTTTATATCTAAAAAAACATTCAAAGACATTCAAACCACAAGCCTTAGTAAATGATATGTATTAAGGGGAATGTAGTTGAATTTTTGACTTCTGATTAGTAGACATAAATTGTAACAAAAAAATAAACAATGTTGACATTAATATAAAAATAATAATTGTAATAAAAACCAAATTCGTTTAATTCGTTAGAAACACCAAAGTCTAATTGAGGAGCAAATTCGGCTTGAACAGTAGAAATGAAACAAATGCGTGTAAACCATTATTATTCTTCCATAAGTCGGCATTTTTTTGCAATTTAAATCGAAAATGTGTCTGATTGTTCGCAATTCAAGTGGAACTGATAACACCCGATATTACGCATTTTCGTCTTCTTCTTCTCCTTTTGCGTGTTGCGCTAATGTCGTAGATTAGATACCTCAAAGTTCCCTTGAGATTTGGCGAGAAGTCGTGTCGAGGGGAAAGATATGCATACACCACACATCTACACGACAAAAAAAGTCGAAAGAAATAAATTCGAGTTTGGGGTGTCAAACATCACACTGATGTGAGTTAATTCGTGCGACGTTGAAAATCAAAAAATAAGCATTTTTTTTTTATTTCGGGGAACATTATCATTATTTACGCATTCATTTTTCATTCTTATTAAAATGCATTTTGAAATTGGTTGTGCCTGTTATTCCATAAAAATATACGCACGTTTGCGTCTTTTTTTGTTGTTGTTGTTCCTGCCTTCTTGATAGTTATACATCCTGAATATTTCCGGGTACTCGAGACTCACCGCATTTTAGCCGTACGAAAAATGCTGATTTTGTTATTTCCGATGCAATTGTGCTCACATTCATTTAGACTTCATTTTGAATTGTAGGAATTTGTAACAGAGCGAGAGGGGGGAACGAAATAATTTTAATAATAATAATAACTGTTACATCAGAATAAATTGCCAGCGAAGCTTCAGTGAAGAAGCAAGAAAAAAAGAGAAAGAGACACGCAAATGTATCACATTTTTTTGTGTGCATGCGCTTCAATTTGAAAATAATTTTAAGTTTTATCCCAAATTTACTCTTCACATTCATTTTTACAGCGGCAAATGAATTTATTTGCAGCGATGTGATGTTGCTCAATAAAATAAGCCAACATCAGAAATGAAATGGTACCATTTTGCTCTGGGTGAGCTGTGAATGGAAATCGGGTAAGCTATATTTAAAAGTTTTACTCCAAAAAATGGATTCGTTCTTTTTTTTTCGTTGGCGACACTCAAGTGAAAATCTTTTGGTATTTGAAAAATAAAACTTTTTGAAATGAATATTAACTGCGTTGGTTGACTTGAAGAAAAAAACCAACCGTGTAAAATGATTAATGACCACAATTCGTTTAGGTCCATTCTTTTCGAGACATATGACTGCAAAGGTAACATATATTATTATACTTTTTTTTGCACATTCAGCACACTTATGTGGAGATTTACATTGAAAATGTAAAACCAATTTTCAGCCACTTTGAATTTTATCCATTTTTACATCTAATTACATTTAAATTTATTACGTTCAACAAATACGCACAATAAATATATTCTTCTACACGATTTAAATGTAATTAAAAAAATGCCGACTGTGTGCGACAAAAAACGATCTAATTTACTGCCCATGGCATAATTAATTATGCACAAAATGTGTAAAATTGCGTTTTTTTTTACTTTGAATCATGTGCTACATATATTTTTTTCATCCGCTTCGACCTGTGTGTCAACGAAAGAGTTAGAGAGACTGGAACAGTGCCACGAAGAGTGAAAGAGAGAGAGAGAGAGAGAGGTGCAAAATTTCAGTGAGAGTCTGGGGACATGTCATTTTGAGTGACTATGAAAAATTAGAGTCTCATTGTGTACGCTTTGGCACTGGTTCCACATCAGTGACGACACCAAAACGACATTTGCCAGAAGCACAATCAAAAATGAATCGACCAGACGGCAAAGTCGGCAAAGTGTCATCATTTTTTGATCAGGATTTTTCTCACCCTACGTTTTTTTTTTTTGTTGTTTCAAAATAACCCATCCGACAAAATATTTTCAGTATATATTTTTTTTGGCATTGGACTTTTTTTTGCTCTCGTAAATCCATAGGAATTTATTTTATTTGCATAATTTATAATTTATTGCTGATGTCGCTATATTTCAGATCAAAGCCATCGTTTCACTTGCAGCTACATTTAATACTCATTCTCTCGCTCTCTCTCTCTTCGTTTTCTGTCGCCCAGCGTCCATTGCATGTGAGAATAAGCGTGAGTGGTATTTGCATTGAAAATGTGATGATTATTAGTTTGCAATATCCACGTATAATCCTGTTTTTTGTCGAGCTCGGCTCTTGAGATATTTTTCTATATTCGCACTGAATCAATTGCAAAACGAAAAAAGGCACGCACTATGCTTTGTACTAACCATTGATGTGAATTTAAATTTATTACATGAACGGTTAGAAAATGATGGCAACAGAGCATTTTTACACAAAAAAAAAAAAAAAATGCAAAAAGAATTTTTTTTAAATCGACAATAAAAACTGACATCAGAGTTGAAATGGTAATACCAGCCAAAAGTGGCAAAATAATTTGATTTCAGGGGTGAAATGCATGATTTAGTGTTGTTTAATCAAAAATCGACATTTCAACGATCTAAAAATGATATGCAGATTAAATTAACACGAATCAAGAGAATCGGTCCGATACAAAGAAAAAGTGAGCGTTAAGCAATCGAATTTGTTCATAAGTTCAACGAACAATGACAAAAACAACAAAAAAATTAGCCAACCGAACAAAAAGAGGAAAAGAGAATAGAAAAAATCACACACACAATCGAAACGTACGTGAAGTGAACCGAGATAAAAATGAATATTTATATTTTGGTTCAATCATTTACTCGATTCGACAAGAGATACACCATGAAATGTGAAACATCAAAAAAGCAGGAAAAAAAGGAGCAACAGCAGCAGCAGCCAGAGGAAGAATTAGTAACCAGTAAACAAAACAACCGATCACACACACTGTAAATTTTGTAGGTGGGAATGACGAGATGGACGAATATTTTTACCATGATTTTTTGTATTTTATTTTACTAAATCGTCCGCATGGAATACCAACAGGCGAAAGGCAGAGCATTTTATGTGTTGAGCAACAGTCGCATTGGTGACGATGATGGTGTGGCCGATGGAAGTGCTATTTTGCATGTTACCATCTATATGCGATTACTATGAGCCAACGGTGTGAGAGCAACTGGGAAAAAAGGAGAGAGAGAGGCGGGGGTGGGAGAGACGAGGTGTAGGTAGATGAGAGGTAAAGAGTGAGTGCCAAAGCGCTGTTTGAATATTTAAATGATCGAAGCGCAATTCTGGCTGCTTCGCACCATGCAATTCGGCAATTTGCATTGCACTTCGATTACTCGAACTACAAAGGCTGCACAAACAGCATCAATTTACTACAACAACAACAACATTTAACTGAAAATTTTCGTGAATCAGCGAATTTGTCGAATGAAAGCTTTTCATGTTGAATACAAATTTATTCAAATCGATTGTGTATTAGTGTGAATTCCATGCATGTATATATATATTCGAAGAGAATACGATGTATGGCAACAATGTGGCCGCCGTCATTGCCACCATTCATTGAATGCCTCTACACGATAGATAGAGACACAAAATAACAAAATAATTGAAGCATCCAACCGACTAACATATAAACAAACACAACATATTTTCTCTTCGTATATCCATATACACTCACACATACACCGTCACACAATCATGTCAACGATGACAAATATCTTCATTTTATCGTTAAAACGAGGTATATGAACTATAATTTTGTGAGCGAATGATTTAAAAAAAGAAGCTGTATTTTGCCTCCAATCTACTAAAGAGCTCACAAAGTGCCCAATAAGCACTTCTATTTCAATGGAAAAGCCAAATCCAAGGGAGGGAGAGAGAGAGAGAGAGAGGAAAGAAAAGAGAAAATCTTTTTTACAGCAAAATTGATTTGTCGCTTCCAAACACAGCCACCACTTCCATAAACAACAGTAAGTGAGATTGCAGATATTGAAAAGGAATGAAAACAAAAAAAACGATAACGAATTTTCCGGTCTACTGACGATTTCATTGCAATCTTGCTGCTGTTGCTGTTACTACCACTTCTCTCTTTCTCTCTCTCTCTCTCCCCACCTCTATGTGTTTCTATCTATTTCTGGCACAGAGCAAACGGTAACCCGAAGAGGGTGAGCATCCTATGGAACTTTTGTGATCGGTTCGAGATTTATGACCATCTGTAATTATTTTCAGTTGTTTGTGAATTATATTCAAGAAGTAAGAGTGATATAGAGTGACCGAATCGCATCAAATATATACATATTTGTTGATCAAAAGATTTCGGATTTAAAGCGATTTCAAATGTACAATACAGATTTCTCTCAAATAAAATTGAAAAGAAGATTCTCATTAAATGAAATGAAATAATGATAAAAAAATAAATCCCCGGAATTTGCATATTATATGCAATACACAACTCAGAGTAAAAATATTCATTGAAATTTGCGATTAAAGCATATTGCAAAGCGCGCAAACATTTACAGTTTCAAATAAATAAAGAAAAAAATCAATTCAGCAAAACAACACATTTTCTAGCACCCAAGGATATGGGCTAGCTTTTCAACATGGCCGAATAATATGATACTCGGCGAGCACATTTTGTTTAGCACTCGTTGATGAAGTATGTTAATACTCTTTCACATATTTTGCATAAGTTTTTCGTAGTTGAAAATGAAATGGCGAGGGGAATGATTATATGGTTATGGGCATGCACAAGTGGTAACCAAAGGAGAAAGATTGAAATATGTACGCCGAGTTAGAGGAACACGGGGACGGAATGAATAGGATATACTTTGCTTCCAATCGCACATACAACAATGTGCACACACACACACATACACGAACATTTAATCGCACACACACTCGCACACTTGAAGTTAAATGTCATTTAAGTTAAATTTATACATTTATATTGTGGTGAGACATCATAAATTTGCCTGCCATCATTGTTTGGTGTGTTTAATTTTTGTTTTTCCGTCATTTATTGCTGTTGCTGGAATTATTATTCTAAGCAGTTTACAATTAAGATTGACTTTGTCGACTTGCAACCGACAAGTAGCAGAGTATGGCAACGTATTAGAGTGAAGAATATGCGAGAATCAAGTGAAATATGCACATCGAGCGCAATTTATGGTTGGCCCCAAAAATCATTCACCAGCTAGTTTGTGAGAAAACAGAGAAGGACGAGAAGAAAGAGAGAGACAGGTAAAGGTCCACAGCTGAAGATGTTTTTGTTTTAAATTGTAGTGTTTTTTCAGTTTTTGTATTGTGTTCGTTCATCATTGAGATTGTTCAAGTTACTCAAGTGAAAACTTTTTGAAATTGTCTGTGCGCACGATCAATTTCGTCGAATGAAAATTTCGAATTACGAGTATATTAAATGATTTGACAAGCATGCTTTGGATGGCATTTATCGTATGACTTGAATTGCATCAGCAATATGACGATACCGCATTGCCAATGACGATGACGATGGCAATGAAATTGCCATCTCACAAAGCATTCCATGTCATAGATATGCAATGTGTGTCTGCATCAAACATCAAGCAAGGTGGCAAACGAAAAAAGGGGTTAGAGTGACTGGCATAAGCGTAATTAAATCCAATAAATTATATTGTTGCCGCTTTTTTGTCGTGTGTGTATTTTTTGTTCTTCTTCTTCGTTTGCTATCACAATTTTCCTTGGATTGGTGCTATGTTTAATGCGTTGAGTGTGGATGTTTAACTGGTGTCTATGTATATTTATATGTATAAATGGAATGATGTGCACTGAAAACTTGCTCTCGAACATTCGTTCCAGATGGAATATTTCCTCTCGTTAAAATTCTAGCACGTGATTATAAAATGTTTAATTGTTGTACATAGCATATGTGACGGCAACAATAACGATACTATGCCTGCATTTTCCATTTCGCGTGAGTTTCATACATTTTGGTGTACAGTTTTAACCTCTCACTCACTCATTCTCTGCCTTCATCCCTTTCGATCTCACTCTCTTTCCATTTCTGTCTCCTGTTTGCCACAGATCACATAGGATGTGTTGTACAACATACATTTCTATTTGGGTAACCGGTACAATTTATTTCACTCCATTCACTCAAAAATTATGTGAGTTCGGATATTCTCGGATGCTGTTTTCACGCATTTTGAAATTTATGTATCAAATTGTACGCTAATGCGTATGAATCTAAATCTAAAGATTCTTTTCGCTTTTAGTCTATGGTTTTTTCCATCGTCCTCTCTCTCTCTCTCTCTCTCTCTCTCTATCAATTTCTAGTCAATTCAGCATCGTAACATCAATTCGTTCTTCACTCGACTCAATTCGTGCGAACTTAATTTGTATTGTTCATTCGCCGTGGAGTTTGAGATAGGTATTTAACGATGCGATTCAATAATATATATGAGACGTACGCTCACTTACAATCATGTGATTCGTGTTCATAAATTCATTCAAAAATAACACCAACAACTAAACACAAACAATAAAATTAACAATAACAACAACACCATTGCTATAGCATAAATATTATGCAAGTGGGCCAAGCGCCGCACAAATCCAGTATATTTCAGGTAGAGTAGAAAAGTGGCAGTAAAGAGGAAAGTGATACACAGCAGTAAAAAAACAACAACGAAGAAACAAGTTAAAATGAGAAACGGAGGGTAAAAACGAAATGTGAAACAAACGACACTGAACCGAATTGAAAGACGTTGTCGAAAAGTTGCCGTAACGAAATTCAGAAGAACGTTCGCGAAAGCGATAAAGCTCATGCCACTAAAAGGCAGCACATTCAGCCAACAGTGGATTTAAGTAATAAGAATACATGGCATGAAGATAAAATATCGCCACACATTATTCGGTATTTTAATTTTGAATGTAATGAAATATATCAACGACATGTAATAAAGCGGAAGCGTGACGTGAACATGCAAACACACATTAATATTATGCCCATTCATTTCTCTCTCTATCTCTCTCTTCATTCTTGTGTCTCACTTTGGTGCTGACGAAAAAAGTTCGTCGCATTGAAAGAAAGAGAGAAAAGGCGAGAACGAGAAAAAAAATTAACCATAAAACAACTGCTCAAATAGCTTGACGAGCACATTCACTGTAAATTGCAACCGATGCAAAATAGTTGCACTAACAATGGTGCAATCATTTTTGTGACTTAAATATGCGATCGCGCAATTATTTGGTGTGCCCAGCGAGGGACAAAAAATCCATTTAATTATGCATCAACCATAAATGAATTCCAATTATTTTGAAAACGAAATTTGTTAAAACGTTTTGAGTAGCCACTGTTCGATCGTTCTTTGTGTGAACAAATTAATATTCTGGATATGTATCCATTTATGTCTGTTAATTATATAAGTTGAGCCCCACCGTTCCAATCAATTTGTATTTGTAGATTCGAAAAACCGTTTTGATCATTGAGTCGAATTCTTTGAATCAAAATAGTCATGAAATCACACATATTATGTTATGTTCAAATAAAAAAAATCAATTTTGGACGTCAACCATTTGAGTTCAAAGTTCATATCACATTGATTAGCCCATACAAACAAATTTTTTTTCAATTCGCATGCTAATCGAGTTCAGTTTTTGGATGATAAGCACGTGATTGACGATATGGACCTTTGAAAAATGGTATATAAGTTCGGTGTTCTTGTATGGAAGTCATACAGTATCGAGGTGGTCATTTAGTCGAAAACACCATTTTTTGTTTCCTCAAGCAAATTAAATACTTCAATCAAAATGTGCAAGGTACGTGTTACGAATCGACAAAGATTCAAATAAAAAAATATCAAATTTGTATATTTTCACTGATTGATTTATTTCTTGGAATGAATTCATTTGATAATTTTCGTTTCAATTTTTTCATCCTGACAGACAATTTTTTCTTATTCATTGTTTTTCTTCTTCGTTACATTGGCAATTACGAACCGACAATTTGTTAGTGCTGCTCCTTATTTTGAAGTCAGCTCAGAAGGTAAACTCACTGGACCATTTGATACTAGTATAGGCGGTGCATTCGCTTTAAAAGGTGGACAAAATGGACAAGCTGCACAACCTGGATTAGTACAAGGTGGTCAAGGGGGACCAAATGGATACCCTGCACCAGTAAACCCATATTGGTACCCAGTATCATGTGGTTATGGTGGACCATGTGGACAAAGTGGATTCGGTGGACAAGGTGGACAAGCTGGATTGAGTGTACAGGGTGGTCAAGGGGTACAAAATGGGATCAGTGGACCAGTTGTATACGGTGGACCAAATGGCCAAAGTGTATTCGTTGAACAAAATAGATACCCTGGACCAGTTTTCCAATATACGTACCCTGGATCATGGGGATACGTTGAACAAAACGGATTCGGTGGACAAGGTGGACAAGCTGGATTGAGTGTACATGGTGGTCGAGGGGTACAAAATGGGATCAGTGGACCAGTTGTATACGGTGGACCAAATGGCCAAAGTGGATTCGTTGACCAAAATAGATACCCTGGACCAGTTTTCCAATATACGTACCCTGGATCATGGGGATACGTTGAACAAAACGGATTCGGTGGACAAGGTGGACAAGCTGGATTGAGTGTACATGGTGGTCAAGGGGTACAAAATGGGATCAGGGGACCAGTTGTATACGGTGGACCAAATAGTCAAAGTGGATTCGTTGAACAAAATGGATACCCTGGACCAGTTATCCAAAGTGGTTTCGTTGCACATAATGAACACCCGAAACCAGTTATACAATATGAAAACCCTGTACAAAATGAATTCCGTATACAAAATGAATACACTAAACCAAATGGCCAAAAGGGATTCGGTGGAGCAGATGGTCCAAATGGCCAAAATGGAACTTATATACAAAATAAATACACTGGACCAAATGACCAAAAGGGATTCGGTGGAGCAGATGGTCCAAACGGCCAAAATGAAACTTATATACAAAATAAATACACTGGACCAAATGGCCAAAAGGGATTCGGCGTGCAAAATGAATTCGTTGGACAAATGGATTCGGTAAACCATGTGGATACAGTGGATCAGGCTTCCAAAATAGATTCGGTGGACCAGGTGGATACAGTGGACCAGGTGGATACAGTGGACCAGGTTTTCCAAAATGAAGTCGGTAGACCAGGAAAAAAATAAAGCAAAAACGCTTCACTCACCATTTAATTCACTATACATATAAATTGTATGAAAACATGGTCTATATTAAAAAAAACTCTACTAGTGGATTGGCAAATATTATTTTTTACTTTCCTTGAAATTCGATATAGTTATTTAAAATAAACAAATCTTATCAAAAGTAGCCTTCAAAACCAACTCATATTCTGATAATAAATGGTAAATTTTATAAAATAATTCTTCGTATTCTAATGCGTACAATTTTGTGCCCATTTTCACATTCACATTTCAATTGGCTTCTTTTTAAAAGTTTTGTTAGGTAATAGCCGAATGAAAAGTTTTTAACATTTTAAGTCTGATTGTAAAATAGCATTTTTTGTATGGCGATAGCGGTATTGTAATTCAATAAACTCGCATATGAATGTGTTTGTAACTTTAATGAAAAATATGTTCAATTTAAATGGTATTTTATTACGTACGTTTACGTTTTCAAAGGATGGAAGCAAACAAATTTCTTTGTTCCAACGTGAGCACCACTAACAATTTTTAACTAACACGAGTTTGTATCGTTCACAGACAGTTGACAAGATGTGATATTATGTCAACTGCTTAGTAAATTAGCACCAAAAACATTGATAGAGGGCCAATACCTTGAACAAAGTTAAGTAGTGATTTTGTATAGTAAAGTGACGTCGCTTCCACAGTATGCACGGTTTACATAAATTTCGCTAATAAATTGAAAATAATTGATAATTCTTGAATTGGTGCAATAAAAAAAAAGAACAGACAAGAATGTTCGACCTTTTGTTATCAAGAATTTTTTTCCTCTTCAATTAAATCGAATCGAAAAACATGTAAAATTCTTTTGGAAATTCCCTTGATTATTATCCCTTGCAAATGGCAAAGTTGCTCGGTTGAGTTTATCAACAATATATACGTTAGAGCGGCCAATTGCGACATGTTTCAAGGGCAATCAAAGCTACTAATCAAAATCATATCATAATTCACTTTCGTTGTTGCATAAATAAAAAATTTCTGTCGTTATAAATTTGTTTGAAAATCAGTTCTGTAGATATTTTGTGAACTTTTTATGATCACATTAGTTTTGCGTAATTTCCAATATTTTTTTTCTCTGTTGAATTTTATTTCAATTTTTAATTTATTAATAATATCACTTTTCCACACACCATTTGAGTTCAGAGTTCATTCTTCAATCAAAAAAATTATTTAAAGATTTTCTTTTTAAAGCGCTTGCTAAGCGCAATTATATTCACATGCTAATCGAGTTCAGTTTTTGGATGATAAGCACGTGAATGACGATATGGTACTTTGAAAAATGGTATATATAAGTTCGGCGTTCTTGTATGGAAGTCATTCAGTATCGAGGTTGTCATTTAGTCGAAAACACCATTCTTTGTTTCCTCAAGCAAATTAAATACTTCAATCAAAATGTGCAAGGTACGTGTTACGAATCGACAAAGTGTTAGATTCAAATAAAAGTGAAAAAATATCAAATTTGTATCTTTTTATTGATTGATTTATTTCATGGAATATTCAGTTAATAATTTCCGATTAATTTTTTTTTCTTGACAGATAATCATTTTTTTCTTCTTCGTGGGATTGGCAATTACGAGCCAACGATTTGTTAGCGCTGCTCCTACTGCTGGAGAACTACTTTCTATTAATCCAGTTCTACAAGGTAATTTAAATGGATTCAACCATTACAATATATATCGTGGCCAAAATGTATTCGGTGGACCAGTTGCATACGGCAGTGGAGCAAATATATTTGTTGGAGCCGCTGATAATAATTGAACATTGACCTTAACTCGGTCGTTTGGCAACACCACACTCTATTTCTACTGAAACCACAATAATAAATAAAACGAATAAATCAATTCAAAAGCAATATTAAAAAATGACAGCATTTTTCATTATCTACTATATAAATTGTATGAAAACATGGTTTATATTGAAAAAAACTCTACTAATTGATTGGAAAAGATTCTTTTTACTTTCGTTGAAATTCGATGTGATATAGATTAAAATCACTAAATATTGTCGGAAATTGTCTTCGAAAGCAACTGACAATAAAGGGCAAATTATGTAAATAACAGTAAATGAAAAGATTGTAGAATACGGCCTTTTTTCCATTTTGTCATGTAAACATTTCATTAATAAGGAGAATTTTTATCGGTGAGATCACGCAGTAACGAATTTTATACAAGCAAAAAATTTCAGACAAAATTCAATTCGTTGTTTTTACAACCTTATTGCTTTCTGTCTATTGTTACTCCTAGGGGACGGACACCATTATAAATATTAGAATATTAGCGGAATATTAGCAAAATATTAGCAAAAATTAGTTTGTTTTGCTTCACCATTGCTTGTTAGAGAATTGCTCACTTTGCTCACCGAAAATTTTTTTTGTTACTTTAAGTGTTTTACTATTTAATAGAAATAAATTTTATTTTTTCTAAACCAGGAAAAATAAAAAAATGTTAAATGTTCATCTAAGAATTTATGAAAAATTCATACATGATTTCACTTTGAGATCAGCTATTTGACGTTTGACGTTTATACTAGTGAACTAATATTAGCAATATTAGCAATATTAGTATGTCTGTATAGTTATAATAGTAGATTTTTTTATTAATATTAGAAAAATATTAGCAAAATTAGCAGATTTTACTAGATTTTGTGTCCGTCCCCCAGATTTACTCAATGAAAATAATTTCATTTAATAATGCCCCGCCAACGATTTTGTCCAAAAATATTAAGATATTTATGGTAATGTCCTTTGAGGTCTGAACTATTAACCCTGAAGTGAACATCAAGACACGTAAAAAATCTAATTGACCCACCCTATTAACACTAGCTCTTTAACATGGTCAATGACCAATCTTCTCTCATTCAATTTCTCTCTTAATCCCTCCTCCATTTACGAGCACATCCACTGGAAATTGCAACTGATGCAACATATTTTCGGATCAACTAACAATGGTGCAATCATGTTTGTGACTTAAATATGTGATTGCGAAATTATTTGGTGTGCCTAACAAGAGCAAAGAAAAATGATTATGCATCAACATAAATGAATTCCAGTTATTTTGAGAATGAAATTTGTTGGTTGAATAGAGAACAACAACAATAAGCAATACTAACTTCAATTTTACAATGAGCACCTTGATTTTTTCAACTCAATTTTAAACTGTTTACAATTTGATAAACTGTGTGTAACATTTTTTACTGATTCATTGATTGGTCGATGCAGCTTCAGATTTTATGCATTCTATTTACTCAATGAAACTGATAGGTCGTTGAAATTCTTTGAAATAATCTCCTTCAACGATTGTGTTCAAACCGATATCTTTGAACAAAGATTTCATATTTTTTTATTGGTAACACAAATACCACATTTTTTATCGAAAACCAAACTGTCTCAATAATTCCAAATGTAACGAGTTTTGTCTCTTTTTATTCATTCCCGAAATGTAATTGATATGGAATTAAACTCAATATATTTTCAAATCACAAACATGATTAACAAGCGCAAAGTAAGCTCACTCAAACTTTGAATTAAATAATTGCGGATATTTTGTAAAAACTTCTTCTAATTTATAGTAAATATGAGTTTTGTGAAGCGAACGCTGTCATTTTAAATTGACAAAGAAATATATAACAGAGATGCTCTGGTTGGTCGTTTTACTTTTCCGCACAAAAGTATTGTAATCGGTCAAAATTTTGAAAACTTCAGAAACATGTTTTCTGGACGTTTATGAGGTCAGAGAACCCGAATCAGGCCGTTTTGAGCATGGTTTATGTTAATCTGTACGTCGTACGTTGTACGTCGTACGCAAAATTTGTTAGCAAGATTGCGCTCATCGTAGAAACTTAATTCAAAATCTGACTTAACAGGATGATTGGGGGTCCCGAGGAATAGAAATCATTAGCTTTTGAGCGACTTTGGTTGATGGAAAAAAATTTCATGCCTGGATATTGTTTTAATATTTTGAATTTCCTTCAGGATTTTTTTTAATCCATATGGATTTTTTATATAGAAAAATCGTAAAAGTATACAATTTAGTCCGACTGGGCCCACAGTGTAATTTATACAATTTTGAAATAAAATTTGAAGAAAAAAATATATGAGAAATGTGCGAAGTTTACAAACTTCATTGTTTTCAAGGGCGTGAAAGAGATGGCGCTCCTTCAATGGAGTCATCTTCAAATACATTGTCAATATAGGACGCAAGAGAGGGTCGGAGGATTTGCTGCTCCAGTAAATTTAAATGATGGCGAAGAATCAGGCTCGGGAGGATTTGCTGTTCCAGTAAATTCAAATGTTGGTGAAGAATCAGGTTCAGGCGGATTTGGTGAATCAGAATGATTAAGTTCAAGCATTCATTATCAATCTGGTATAGTCGATTAACTAATTTGTAGTGAAACAATTTACACCAATAATGCGAATAAATCAATTCAAAAATAATGTTAAAAATTACAGCATTTTTTATTATCTAGTAAATAATTTATATGAAAACATGGTCTATTCAAAAAAATATTCCTGTGCATTGAAAAAAAAACCAATTTCGTTCAAATTCCATGAAGATAGATTTAAAATCACCAAATATTGTCGAAAATTGCCTTCGAAAGCAACTGACAATAAACGGCAAATTATGTAAATAAAAACTTGATTTTAGAATACGGCCTTTTTGTGTCATTTTTTCATTCTCCGCTTACACCAGAAGCATTGATGAACAAGATGAATTCCGTATGAAAATTGACTTAAAAAACTTTGTTTGGTTCAATCGAAACACCATTTTGAATGGAAAGTTTTAAACGTCTTATTATTCCAGAATAATTAGCACCTGAAAATAATTTTCATGATATGAATTGTCAAAAGAAATGATGATCATTAAAATAGCGAGCATCTTATCTCATTTGTAGCAAAAAAAGAACTATTTGTGAAAAAACTCACGCATGGGCATTTGAATATATGTCGTCAGTAGATGGAGAATATGAATATGTTTTTTGTGATGTTGATAGTCTGTTGATTAAACATTTCATTAATAAGGAGAATCTAATTGATCCGCCCTATTACACTATCGCTTTATGGCCAATGACCAATTTTCTCTTTTACTCCCTCCTTCTTCCTCAATATTCGCGCTCTCTATTTGTCCAATTGATGATTGTTTTATTAATCAGCACAAAATTGTTAAATATGTACTTATATCTGAAATTAATGAGGCAACTAATTTCGGCGCATGAGCATTTTCAATTTCGAATGGAGAAATTAAAATGAAAACAAACATTAAAACGAAACTTGATTTCAATTTCACTCGCTATTTACTTTCAATACAATATATGCATATTACATATGAATCGTTGCGGCGAAAAAACACCTCTTATTTTGTACGAAATAATACTTGGACATGCATTTTTTTCATGTAGGTTTGCAATTGTAATTTCAACAATAATTTCATAAAAATGTCATGTTCAAGTATTGTTCGGTACAAAATAAAAGCTATTTTTTCAAACAAATATTTCACATTTGGCACGGACATGAACTCAAAATACGAATTTTTATTTCAATCCAATCGAATGTAGAATCTACATTGCATAACGAAATTTCGCGTTTATTCAAGCTACTAACCTCAAAACTATGACTAAACGACTTTTGGTAAACATTTTCACGCTGTTTCGTTGGGTTAATTTAAATGACAATTAATACTTGCAGTATATGATGCAGCGTGGGATGTCAAAGATAGTAATTGGCTAATATAATTAATTGTTTCGATAAATGAAATTAAAAATGTAAAATTAGCTTGAAAAAATGGTGAAAATAAATATTTAACAAATGTTTACGTCAATTCACTAGAGCTGAATCATTCATTTTCAAGTCGATTTAAATCACGGACATACTTTTTTTGTTTGAAAAAATAAACACAAATAGATTTATAATTGAAGTGGACGGTTTTTGTTCGTAACGTTTGAAAAATTTAAAATGTGAATGGTAAAAATGAACCATGTTTACAAAATGATGCAATATCAACATCTTTTTTTTTTGTTCCCATCAAATTCTGTAACATTTTGCATTAATGACAACATAGAGTTATAGTATTAGAATATTTAATAAAATATGTGTAAATTGTTGATATTTCATCATGTGATGGCTGATGTATGTTGAGCAAATTCTTTATTTGTTGAATGAAAATATCGCCCCATTGAAATGGTAACAAAAGAAAATATGTCCATTGAGAAGTGAGCGTAAACATGTGCTGTTTGTTATTTGGTCGATTGTGCGATCACAAAACGGTGTACGAGTATTTGAATTGCATTCAATGAGCGTATGATAAAAATGCAAATGTTGTTCCAACAACAACAACAACAACAAAAACCAAGTAGTTCGATCAAGAGAAGCGCTTTTTTGAGCAACGTTCGATTTTCCACAGATGTTCTAACACAATTTTTATCATATTTTAGCATTACAAAATGATATGAGCGCAACAGCCGCTTGACGATTGTGTATACTTGCATGATTCTTTCGGACAAAAGTTTGATGCCGAGACGCTGACTGGGAAAAATGCCACCTTCGCTGTCGAACCAAAGAAAGAAAGAAAAAAACCTGTCCCATGTAGCAGCACAATGACATGCTGGAAATTAAATATGGAAATTTTCGGGTGAAAATCTAATTTAGAGCTTAGGCGTGATTCGTTTTCAATATGGAGTTCTACCGAGGAGTTGAAATTGTGCGACTGTACGATTTTTCTATAGTTTTCTAATGTGTCGGGCCACATAAACATTTCTCAACATTTAAAATGGTGCTACCCCGGCATTTGCTTAAATTGCAACTGCAAACGCTTACCCAAAAATGAATGCACTCCAGAGTATTTTGAGTCTCCGAAGTTATTTCTATATG